CGCCAAGAAACGTAAGTATATTGTCAAAAAGAATCCCCAGAATGGTGGATCCCAAAGGTTTGAAACTACCACTTTGGCCCACTGGACGACACCTTAAACAGTTGCCGACCGGATGACACCCATTGTTTGGTCACCCACGCCATAGTATGCATCATGGGTACGCCGAAATGACCAAAAGTCCCAATTTCCGGTGTGCAGGGTCATTTTCAACGGCACGTGGCACGTGGTTCTGGACTTTTCCGGCCACTTTGCGACATACCCATGGGTAGTGCACCGAATGGTGGTTGATCTGCATGGAAGAAAATGGGGGGTCGTTTGGATCGTTTTCGAGCAATCTGCCGTGAAACGCATTTTTTCATTTTGCCCATTGGCTTAACACGGGAATTTTCAAAGTCACGTGGCACGTGCACCAGATGGTCCGCGGAGGGGATACCCATACCAGAACGTAGATCACCTGGCCCACTAGAAATCCTGAAAAAAAATCAGAATTTTTGGAGCAGCCGTTTTCAAGAGCATCAAGTTGTACTGATCTCAAGAAAAGAAAAATGCACATTCTCTTATAAAAATTCGATGAGTTGGGAGCACTTTTGAATGTCTTTAAGTAGAGACTCATTTTGATTTACTTGATTACACCGAAAAATAACTGATCGGCTTTGTCCAGTAAGATAAGTTTGCTTGAACCGTGTAGTACATTCTTACCGCTGGCGATTTTTGCTTGTGATCACTTATTGGGGAACACCGCCACCCCGTGGCGGTCAGTGGCGCACCCAAGGGGGGGGGGCCCTGGGGCCCGGGCCCCCCCCCCCTCCTCGGGTATTTTTAGGAGGCCCCTGAACCTGATCAGAGCTTCGGGTACTTTTAACTCGGGTACTGATCAGTGCTACCGACAGGAGGTCCTTTGGTCAATATAGGAGGCCCTGTGTACCAGCAGGAGACCCCTTGACAAATAGGGGCCCTCTACCAACAGGAGGCCCCCTGGACAAATAAGAGGCCCTCTTTACAAATGGGAGGCCCCTGTTCAGATAGGAGGCCTGGGCCCTCTACTAACAGGAGGCCCTCTGTACAAATGGGAGGCCCTCAATATCAACAGGAGGCCCCATGTACAGATAGGAGGCCCTCTGTGCCTTCAAGAGGCCCTTTGCACGCATGGGAGGCCCCCTCTGTACATGAATGGGAAGCCTTTGTGCACATGGGAGGCCCTCTGTACAAATGGGAGGCCCTCTGTAGCAACGGGAGGCCCCCTTGACAAATATGAGGCCCTCTGTACCAGCAGGAGGCCCCCTGGGCAACTCAGAGACCCTCTAAACGAGCAAGAGGCCCTCTGTACAAATGGGAGGCCCCCTGTACAGATAGGAGGCCCTCTGTTCCAACAGGAGGCCCCCTGGAAAAATATTAGACCCTCTTTTGCAAATGAGAAGCCCCCTGCACATATAGGAGGCCTCCTGTACAACTGTACAACAGGAGACCCCCTGGAAAATTGACAAACAGAGGCACTCTGTACCCACAGGAGGTCACTGGACGAATAAGATGCCCTCTGTACAAACGGGAGCGCTCTGTACACGTGAGAGACCATCCGTACCAACAGGAGGCCTCCTTGACAAATCAGAGGCACACTGTAGTTTGTACCAACAGAAGGCTCTCTGTACGATAGGAGGCTCCCTTTACATACCTATAGGAGGCCCTCGGTACCGGCAGTAGACCTCTGGTGCTGGACAATCTGAAGGCCATGATGCCATCTGTACAAATTAAGGGCCCTCTGTACACATTATTACTTAAACCGTTTTCCTCTAATTGAAAAAGTTGTTAGTTCATTTCTACACAGACATTGTTCAAATCTTGAAGTGCCCTCAATTTTGCGATTTAGTAGCATCTTTTTAATGACCTTCGCGTCAGCTGAATGTTTACGTTTAACGGCCTTGTCCTTCGGAATTTGGATCGCACGGAGTTCGCATCGCTCCGGTTCGTTTTTTTACAGGTATGTTAAAGATATATAAAGCGTAACGTGAATATGAGGTTTTTAACCTCCCCTGTTCTTGTAAATAATTGTTGACCAACCCATAAAACGGTGACTCTTGCCCACTTTTGCATGATTTAGCATTACCAGTGCAGACGTCCTTCGTCCACTTTCGACGGTTACGTTTGTTTCCAGAGTTTTGAGCCCGTGGCCTTCCGACACTAGCCTGTTTTTTTTTTGTGCTGCACCGCCGATTGCATAACATATGCTCTGAGATGCCCGATCGCAGTGCCGACGTCTTGTACTCTCCCACGCCACGTACCCGGTCGGCACCATATCTTGCTGCTCGCCACCGGAAATGGGTGGCACCATCTACTGGCTGCTGAGTGCACTCAAAATTCACGCTTGGAGCAGGGTGACTCTACTCTATCTACCCGCTACGGGTCACACTGCAAGTTCGTCCTGTCGCAAGGATTGCCAACGCCCAGTCATCGGACCAACTGTCGCTCCCGCTGAGGCCGCTGCCGCTCAGGAGGTCGCACGGCCTCTCGGAATCTTCCGCCTGCCGTCGTTCTGAAGAAGAAGAAAAACACTGGACAATGAAACGATTCCCCCCTCCCGGTCATCCTCCCACCACCACCACCACCATAACGTCGAAGGTATAAGCTGTTAGAGCTATATACCAACTATTTCTACCTACCATTGTGATCCTCTCGTCAAGGCCAACTGAATGCTATGGTATTTGACAAAATTTATAAAATGGACATGGCGTGACCTCAATGACAAAATGCCTTGATTACCTATTATGACTCTTGCCGTTTACTTCGGTCCGTGATGTATGTGATCCGCAGGTGGCATCTTGCGTCAACAATGTGGAAGAACGCTAGTGGCTTTCAAAAGCGAAAAAGGAAACGGCAAAAAGAGGCAGCCGATGAAGCTAGGAAATTAAAAAAACTAGACTCTTTTCTTTTTGGAGAACGCGCTGTTAACGGTCAGTATCCTAAATTTTTATCAGAAGTAATTATCCCAATTTTTGTTTGTAATATATTTGCTAGGAATGCTAGGAATATATTTGTAATACATTTTATCTTTTTGTCGGCCGGTGTGCAGAGGCCGACGAGCGGCGCCACTGCAGACATCGATGACCGGGACTCCGGGAACGGTCAGTATATTGGATAGCTTGATTGGCTACCTGTGTTACCTAACTTACCTGTCCGCTATCGCCACAATTCACAAACGGCTGTTTGAGCTAATTACTGATCGCCGACTCTCCCTGGCAGATCCTCTCCCGTCCTGTTCGGGGTCGGCTGCTGCCACCAGACAGCCGCATCCGCCAGTCCCAGCGGCCGGTGTGCAGAGGCCGACGAGCGGCGCCGCTGCAGACATCGATGACCGGGACTCCGGGAACGGTCAGTATATTGGATAGCTTGATTGGCTACCTGTGTTACCGAACTTACCTGTCCGCTATCGCCACAATTCACAAACGGCTGTTTGAGCTAATTACTTATCGCCGACTCTCCCTGGCAGATCCTCTCCCGTCCTATTCCGGGTCGGCTGATGCCACCCGACAGCCGCATCCGCCAGTCCCAGCGGCCGGTGTGCAGAGGCCGACGAGCGGCGCCGCTGCAAACATCGATGACCGGGACTCCGGGAACGGTCAGTATATTGGATAGCTTGATTGGCTACCTGTGTTACCTAACTTACCTGTCCGCTATCGTCACAATTCACAAACGGCTGTTTGAGCTAATTATTGTCTACTGATCGCCAACTCTCCCTGGCAGATCCTCTCCCGTCCTGTTCCGGGTCGGCTGCTGCCACCAGACAGCCGCATCCGCCAGTCCCAGCGGCCGGTGTGCAGAGGCCGACGAGCGGCGCCGCTGCAGACATCGATGACCGGGACTCCGGGAACGGTCAGTATATTGGATAGCTTGATTGGCTACCTGTGTTACCTAACTTACCTGTCCGCTATCGCCACAACTCACAAACGGCTGTTTGAGCTAATTACTGATCGCCAACTCTCCCTGGCAGATCCTCTCCCGTCCTGTTCGGGGTCGGCTGCTGCCACCAGACAGCCGCATCCGCCAGTCCCAGCGGCCGGTGTGCAGAGGCCGACGAGCGGCGCCGCTGCAGACATCGATGACCGGGACTCCGGGAACGGTCAGTATATTGGATAGCTTGATTGGCTACCTGTGTTACCGAACTTACCTGTCCGCTATCGCCACAATTCACAAACGGCTGTTTGAGCTAATTACTTATCGCCGACTCTCCCTGGCAGATCCTCTCCCGTCCTGTTCGGGGTCGGCTGCTGCCACCAGACAGCCGCATCCGCCAGTCCCAGCGGCCGGTGTGCAGAGGCCGACGAGCGGCGCCGCTGCAGACATCGATGACCGGGACTCCGGGAACGGTCAGTAAATTGGATAGCTTGATTGGCTACCTGTGTTACCTAACTTACCTGTCCGCTATCGCCACAATTCACAAACGGCTGTTTGAGCTAATTACTTATCGCCGACTCTCCTTGGCAGATCCTCTCCCGTCCTGTTCGGGGTCGGCTGCTGCCACCCGACAGCCGCATCCGCCAGTCCCAGCGGCCGGTGTGCAGAGGCCGACGAGCGGCGCCGCTGCAGACATCGATGACCGGGACTCCGGGAACGGTCAGTATATTGGATAGCTTGATTGGCTACCTGTGTTACCGAACTTACCTGTCCGCTATCGCCACAATTCACAAACGGCTGTTTGAGCTAATTACTTATCGCCGACTCTCCCTGGCAGATCCTCTCCCGTCCTATTCCGGGTCGGCTGATGCCACCCGACAGCCGCATCCGCCAGTCCCAGCGGCCGGTGTGCAGAGGCCGACGAGCGGCGCCGCTGCAAACATCGATGACCGGGACTCCGGGAACGGTCAGTATATTGGATAGCTTGATTGGCTACCTGTGTTACCTAACTTACCTGTCCGCTATCGTCACAATTCACAAACGGCTGTTTGAGCTAATTATTGTCTACTGATCGCCAACTCTCCCTGGCAGATCCTCTCCCGTCCTGTTCCGGGTCGGCTGCTGCCACCAGACAGCCGCATCCGCCAGTCCCAGCGGCCGGTGTGCAGAGGCCGACGAGCGGCGCCGCTGCAGACATCGATGACCGGGACTCCGGGAACGGTCAGTATATTGGATAGCTTGATTGGCTACCTGTGTTACCTAACTTACCTGTCCGCTATCGCCACAACTCACAAACGGCTGTTTGAGCTAATTACTGATCGCCAACTCTCCCTGGCAGATCCTCTCCCGTCCTGTTCGGGGTCGGCTGCTGCCACCAGACAGCCGCATCCGCCAGTCCCAGCGGCCGGTGTGCAGAGGCCGACGAGCGGCGCCGCTGCAGACATCGATGACCGGGACTCCGGGAACGGTCAGTATATTGGATAGCTTGATTGGCTACCTGTGTTACCGAACTTACCTGTCCGCTATCGCCACAATTCACAAACGGCTGTTTGAGCTAATTACTTATCGCCGACTCTCCCTGGCAGATCCTCTCCCGTCCTATTCCGGGTCGGCTGATGCCACCCGACAGCCGCATCCGCCAGTCCCAGCGGCCGGTGTGCAGAGGCCGACGAGCGGCGCCGCTGCAAACATCGATGACCGGGACTCCGGGAACGGTCAGTATATTGGATAGCTTGATTGGCTACCTGTGTTACCTAACTTACCTGTCCGCTATCGTCACAATTCACAAACGGCTGTTTGAGCTAATTATTGTCTACTGATCGCCAACTCTCCCTGGCAGATCCTCTCCCGTCCTGTTCGGGGTCGGCTGCTGCCACCAGACAGCCGCATCCGCCAGTCCCAGCGGCCGGTGTGCAGAGGCCGACGAGCGGCGCCGCTGCAGACATCGATGACCGGGACTCCGGGAACGGTCAGTATATTGGATAGCTTGATTGGCTACCTGTGTTACCTAACTTACCTGTCCGCTATCGCCACAATTCACAAACGGCTGTTTGAGCTAATTACTTATCGCCGACTCTCCTTGGCAGATCCTCTCCCGTCCTGTTCGGGGTCGGCTGCTGCCACCCGACAGCCGCATCCGCCAGTCCCAGCGGCCGGTGTGCAGAGGCCGACGAGCGGCGCCGCTGCAGACATCGATGACCGGGACTCCGGGAACGGTCAGTATATTGGATAGCTTGATTGGCTACCTGTGTTACCTAACTTACCTGTCCGCTATCGCCACAACTCACAAACGGCTGTTTGAGCTAATTACTGATCGCCGACTCTCCCTGGCAGATCCTCTCCCGTCCTGTTCGGGGTCGGCTGCTGCCACCCGACAGCCGCATCCGCCAGTCCCAGCGGCCGGTGTGCAGAGGCCGACGAGCGGCGCCGCTGCAGACATCGATGACCGGGACTCCGGGAACGGTCAGTATATTGGATAGCTTGATTGGCTACCTGTGTTACCTAACTTACCTGTCCGCTATCGTCACAATTCACAAACGGCTGTTTGAGTATCGAATGCGCTTTTCCGTGGCGCTCAAACTGTAATGGTTCCCGAGTCACGCGCCGATTCGTCAAAAGCTGTTCAACTGGGCAAAATTTGACCTTCGATGATCTCTGGTGACCTGATCTTTGACCTGAACCAAAAAATGACCGAAGATTTTTCTTCATTATTTTTGACGCTCTTTCGAATTTCTACCGCGTGTCGCTACGTGGCTCAGGAGCCGAGTTCGACGGGGGGGAAGCTTGAAAACGCCCCTCCCCCTTCCCTAGCACGGCATGGAAAACTCAGACCAGTAGCACGCGCGGGTTAACATTATATGTACATGATATGCACGATGTCGTCACTAATCGCGTTTAATGTTGAAGTGGGCGAACATTTCCGGTTTCCTTTCAATTGGGGATAGTTCATTACGCCATGTCCCAGCCAGTCGAACGAGTACGTTACTTTCACTTTGGTCTTGCGTCCTTCAATTACGGTACTGCAAACTTCTGTGTCCTTTTCCTCTACATCCTACCTTCCTTTCTTTCAGCGCCTGGATCCTGCAATGCTGTCGCATCCTCTGTGCATCCGGATGACATTGGCAACTACGTCTGCGCGAAACAGCTCCCGTTGGAGGAGAGAAGACGACTTCTGAAAGACCCATGGACTCCGCCGCCATCATACCGATTCCCAGTGGTTCCTGATGCTGGCGGTAAAAATCGGAAGTTCCAGCGAGATCACATCGCTGAGTTTCCCTGGCTCACTTACAGTGCTGTGCCGGGACTTGAAGGCGGCTTTTGTCGATACTGTGTGCTGATGGGGAGGCAAATCAGCGGGAGGGCTTCAGGAGACCAGGCGCTGAGAAGTTTCGTCACTGAGCCATTCAAGCGGTTCAAAGACGCAAAACGGCATCTGCGTCAGCACCAAACCACGGAGTATCATGCAGACGCGGTCACAATGGTTGAAGAAGTCCTGATGGGAAGAATGGGCATCGACGAGCTGGTGGATGGACAGAGGAGAGAAGAAAGAAGGAAGCGGGAACAGCAAGAAGCAGACTACAAGAAAAGACTTCTGCCGGTGATCCAGACTGTGCTGCTCTGCGGTGCTCAAGAGTTGGCACTGCGAGGCCATCGTGACGACGGTCCGCTGGACCTTGATGCCGTTCCGAAAAGAGGAGAAGGAAACTTCAAAGCCTTGCTAAGGTATCGGGCGCAAGGGGACAGGCTGCTAGAAGATAGCATTAGAACAGCCCCGAAGAACATGCAGCTAACGAGCTGGAACGTGCAAAATCAGATTATCCTTGTATGCGGACAGATGATCAAGGAGAACATCGTGGAAAAGATAAAAAAAGCAAGCATGTACACGATCATCGCCGATGAGACGACCGACCGAAACAAACGGGGACAGCTCGCTCTCGTTCTTCGGTACGTAGCTGAAGATGGAACGGTGCGAGAGGATATGGTGGCTCTGCTGAACCCTGAGAAGACGACTGGAGAAGCGCTCTCGAAGATGATCATCGACGCCCTACAAAAACTGGACCTATCACTAGATGGCGTGAGGGGTCAGGGCTATGACGGCGGTGGAAACATGAGCGGGCGAATTAGCGGTGCTCAGTCCCGAATCAGGACTCTTCAGCCGTTGGCCGTGTACACTCACTGCGCCTCTCACCGGCTAAACCTTGCGCTAGGTCGGGCACTAACTGTCCCAGGGGTGCGCAACATGCTGGGTGTCGTGTCCGTCGCTTCCAACTTTTTCAACGACTCCGCGGCTCGAGTGCAGCTTCTGGAGGAAAAAGTGGAACAGTTGGGCGAGGAGCAAAAGAAAAAGAGACTGAAGGCGCTGTGCCGAACTCGATGGGTGGAGCAGCACGAGTCCCTGCTGACCTTCGAACAGCTGCTAGTTCCCATCGTCGCAGCACTCGAACACGTTGAGCGGGAGGGAAGCAGCGACGCAGCTCAAAAAGCGTCCGGACATCTGGCAGCGATCACCCGCTTCGACTTCCTAATCTGTCTTGAGATGGCTGTGCTCCTCTTCGGCATCACACTGGGTCTGTCGATCTGCCTCCAAAATCCCCAGCAGTCACTGAGTGATGCCATGCAAAAAATCAACGAAGTCCAGCAGGCAGTGCAAGACGCAAGAGAAGAGTTCCCAGCTGTGATGAAAAAGGCTGCTGCACTGGCTGACAAGCTGGACATACCAGTCATCGCTCCGAGAGGCTCGTCTCGACAAGTGCACCGACCTAACAGCTCCGTGTCATCAGATCCAGAGACGAACTACCGGATCAACGTGTTCAACCCTTTCATCGACCAAATGATCAAGGAGCTGAAGGAGCGCTTCCCGGAAGATCATCCTGGCCTGCAACTGGAGGGAGTCCTTCCAGCACGCATAGGGACCGCTGACCTCTCCGCAGTTGTCGAGTGTGCTGAAGCGTACCACAAAGATCTGCCGAGCCCAGTCAACCTCCGGTCGGAACTTGTGCTTTGGCGTGCCATGGTAGCATCAGCAACCAACCGCCCACAGACTGTGGGAGACGCATTCCGGATGGCGGGCTCACTTCCGAACGTCAAGACACTGCTTCAAATCCTCATGACCCTCCCCGTCACAAGCTGTTCTGCAGAACGAAGTTTCTCGACACTGAAGCGTGTTGAGACTGAACAGCGGACAACAATGGGAGAGAGCCGGTTGGAGAGCCTCATTCTGATGAGTGCACACGGCGTGGCCTCGCTGGATCCGTCCATGGTAGCAGACCGCTTCATGAAGACGCGCCCCCGGCGCTCAGTTTGATTGAGTCCAGCTCTCTCAGAGGTGCTGTCGACTGGTCGCACCGGTGAGTGTTCAGTGAGGCTTCAGGAATATATCTGTTGACTATTACCTTTTGCCTCTCAAAGATGACATGTTGCCACAGGCACAGGTGACGACACGACGTCAATGCAAACAAAAGCATGCAAATCTCAAAGGTAATGAGATTTGTTCATTGAGCTTTGTGTACTTATCTACTGATGGGATAGGGTGAGTTCTATTCTGGGTAGAGCGCTTAGTCGTTACGTAACGTTTTAGGGCGTTAAGAGGGTTACCAGAAGGCCTTCCAGCACGACAACGTTTGCTGGCTATTGAGTCATATGCTTACAGAGCCAATGAGTTTAACTATTTAGTGAGATCGCTAAGAACGTCACCTATCATACAAACAGCCGTCACAAAGTTAGCGAAATGGAGGCCCCCTCGCTAGACAGAGGCCCCCCGGCAACCGGAATACGGAGGCCCCTGTTCGCCCGGGCCCCCTCCCCTGGAAAATCCTGGGTGCGCGCCTGGTGGCGGTGTTACCCCAATTGAGGTTGCGGTGTTTCCTGTTTGTAGCGTGATAAGTGATGAAACTCCAAAGACACGCTTTATTTATGTTCGTAGATGTTCCTAAGTCGGGAATAAGCAGCTTATTTGATTTTTTACTTTATATTTTTCATGCATCCCGACTAAGCACTTGCCAGCTGTATAAAACTGGCAAACAGCTGATGAACCTATACCTATTTAGGTGTCCATTACCGATTATTTGCGAAAATTACCACTTACCGACAGGAAACTCATCGCACACGACCTCTGAACAATTAAAAGCTTTCGTAGGAATGGGTTGGGTTAACATCAACACCGGTGGCGGGGTTACCCACACAATTTGTAGGCAGCAAATATGCAAGGTATTTTTAAAAGTCGTGATACATGAAAACCTTTTAGGAGCATGCAAAATAAGTACCTAAAACACGTGAGAAAATGTTTAAATATTGTAACCAAAACAAAAACTACCAAGAGACTTCACACATATTCTCTCATTTTGGCGAAAAGCTTAGGGGGGCGGTGTTACCCCCGCTTCCCCTATATACAAACCAAAGACGTCACTAGGTGAAAGGCCATGTAGTTCGACACCGCAAACTGAAGCGATCGGTCGGGAAATCGCTACATTCCTCTATTCCACCCCGTTCGCACCGTTGTAAGCCGTTTGGTTGGTATCCTTATCCACTGCGGCGTGATGTCCCGACCCAGGGTATATTGAGTCCCGACCTGTGTCCCGATGATTCGATGTCCATGACCAATCAGCACACGCATTGCCGTGACGTCATTGGCCGGACCCCGACACGTTACGGAGATATGGGTGGCATTCGGCATTCGGCAATGGGTGGCATTGAATTTAACTGAGCGGAAACTGAGCTGAGCTGAATTGAGCGGAAACTGAGCTGAGCTGAACGGGAACTGAGTTGAGCTGAGCTTAGGTGAGCGGAAACTGAGCTGAGCTGAGCGGAAACTGAACTGAGCTGAGCGGAAACTGAGCTGAGCTGAGCGGAAACTGAGCTGAGCTGAGCGGAAACTGAGCTGAGCTGAGCTGAGCGGAAACTGAGCTGAGCTGAGCTGAGCGGAAACTGAGCTGAGCTGAGCTGAGCGGAAACTGAGCTGAGCTGAGCTGAGCGTGAGCGGAGCGCAGCCGGTTTGAGCGGAACGTGAGCTGAGCTGAGCCGCGTTAAACTGAGCGGGAGCTGAGCGGGAGCGGATAAGACGGAGTTGAGCTGAGCGAGCTCACTTTTTTCTTGAGCTGTCACAAGTCTGACGGTAACTCATTTTTCTTATAGGTATATTAGATCAGCTGTAGGCTGCGCTAAAAAGAACATGCATAGGAGCAGGGTTGTGCTCGACTCAAAAAAGTTTGCCGACTCGACTCATCATTCAACTTCAGAAAGCCCTGACTCAACTCTGACTCAGACAAGGAGCTGATTTTTTCCCTTGACTCGACTCATGACTCAAGCGGCTCAATGAAAATATGAGTTGACTCAATCTTGACTCAAATTTTTTGTTGAGTCAAGTGTGTTGACTCAAAATTGACTCAGATAAAAAATATGTTGAGCGGGGGGGGGGGGTGAAAAAAATCCGGCAGCAGGGCAAGGCCTAACCCAGCTAACAATTTGCCGTTGTTACAACGTCGTTTAAACGTTGTAAAATGGTTACCACAACGTTCCGATTTATCGTTGTGACAACGTAATTTTGTAGACTCCAGACAACGGCGTGATAACGTCATCCGACCATGCATTTGAATGTCGTCACAACGTTTCTGTAACGTGACCGTGACGTCCCAAAACCGTTCTCACAACGTCCCGCCAACGTTATGAAATGTTTTCTGTAACATGCCAACAGCGTTTCTGGAACGTTGTCACCACGTTTCCACAACGTGACTACAACGAGTAAGGTAAGGTGCCTAATCAGCGACCCTTTCCGATTTGCGACCTACCTCCCTATGAGAAAAACTGGCAGGATAAAACGGGGTAAAAATATCGTCAGAAGGTCAGCCATACTTTGGTTATCAAATTAAATTATTTTCCAGTCGTTGATGTTTCTGGTGGGACGTTTCAGGTGAGTTTAAATAAAAATGACGAGTTTCTTATCCAAAACGTGTGTGTTTGGGCCCTCTCTGATGAAAAGCGATGCACATTAGGATGATGGACCTTTTTTATTCTGAATCGACATTCCTTTTTCAATTGATTGCCGTTTTCCCATAGTGAATCGCTCAACTGTGCACAGCATGGCGGTTAAAAATGTGTCGCAACTCATATTTCCTATTTGCGCCTGACATGGTCGCAAATAGCTCAAGAAGGAAAAGAAAGGGGAAAAGAGAAAAATGAAAATGAGGTGTTGCTGAAGCTTGCAATGTGTGGCAGGGGATGCCAAATGGCGTCACCAACTGCAGGGGTGCCGAATTCAGCGCGGACTTCGAATATCATACGAGATAGCCCGCAAAATTTGGATTTCCGCCTTCTTTTCGCCTTCGGTGCATCACGTGATCAGTTTTTACTTGCGTAAATGTGTTGGATAAATGTTCCTGCTCGAGTGATTGTTTTGCGTATAGGTTACCTTTCTGAGATCATATTTCATCTTTTCAGGCGTAGCATTTTTTGCCATTTTTAATATGGGGAAACCCATAGACTTATTAGCGACCCTCCCCGGTCGCTAATCGGGAAGAGTTCCCTATTAGCGTTTTTTTGCAGTGGTTTGCCAAAATGCTCACTACAAATATGTTAGTGAATATTGGGGCAGAAAATGACTATATTTCAATAGAAAAATGATTGATCTCTCCGAAAATCAAGCCAGTAATACAGTGGCACCCACAGAGCGTGAGCAATGACGGTCCAAATTAAGGGGGTCGCTAATTAGGCACCTTACCCTATTAGAACGCTTTGGCAACGTCTCTACGACGTTTCTGAACGTTTTTATCACGTGCGCACCACGTTGTCGCTACTTTGTATTGCCGTCCCTGCGACCCATGAGTAAACGTCCTAAACATTTTCGCAACGTCCTCTGAACGTGTTCGCAGCATACTCAGAATGTGTTTCCGACGCTCTCTTCCCGTTCTCTAGACTTGTAAAAAAGGCATGTAAGAAGTGTATATTTCGATAAATCACACAGGTCAATTAACAAAAAAAAAAAAAAAAAACGACAGCGGCGGCATCGGTGATGGGGCATGGGGCCCAGGGGCGCCCCCATGGGAGCGTGGGACGGAATTGGGTTCTACCGGCTCTTATAGCGCTAGCCGCTCACGCCATGGAACTGGTGGAAGTTCACTTTTTCACTAACCCTCGCTGATCACTCGGCGGACCGTTAGGCACCGGCTCATTTGCGGCCTCGATGTCCCTAGGCAGCTGGGTGTGCCTGACCAGACGGTCTGCGCGCCCCCCGTTCCGGTCGCAGCTTCCGGACAGCCACTTCGCTACCGCCTTGCCGACAGTAGGCCTGGCGCCTGCCACAAGGCGCGCTGACGAGTTGCAGGACGTCTGCGGGAAGACGTGAGGGAAAATCAGACATATTCAATTCATGAAAAAAAAAATCACAAAAAAATACCTGCACCAGTCTTCCCGTAACAGTGCGACAGGCTAGATCAAACATGTCAACACCTTATAAGAGGCTATGAACTATAGCCTAGACCGCACGATATTACAAGGCACAATCTTGCAAATGCTACTCGTAAATGGTACTTTGACTTACCAGTCAAAGCAACAATCACATCAAACGCAGACAACTGGCGCTATCTTTCATCTTCCAGCTATCTCATCCGCGACCGCCGCCGGCCCTCACTGCTCGCTCGCGCCGCGCAGACTGCGGCTCGGCCGGCTGGCTCTGAACGCCGGCCGGTGACACTGACGTCACGGCCCTCCGGCGAGGTCAGGGCGAGTCACCGGCCAATGGCGGCCGGCGTGGCTCGCTGGCAGCCGCGGGTAACAGCCGCGTTTACATAGGGATAGTTGCAAGCCTCTAGCTCCGCCTGTGATGTTGCAAAACATGCCAATGACGCTTTGCAATTAACACAATGATCTCATCTAAATATACGAAAAGTACCTACTGCATTAAAAGTATCGCAGAAGAAGTGAGCAACAGCCCCGACAAAAATGCTATGTAACCGGGCATATTGTTTGGGTGGCAGGGAGCCGGATTTGTGCCGGACTTGGCGGTCCGAAACCATACTAACTCCGGAGCGCTACGGCAAAGACTGGCTTACCGGAGTCACCATCAAATTAATACCCACCCGCCTTTTAACTATATGTTATACATATATATATATATATATATATATATATATATATATATATATATACATATATATTTAACCAACTCTCGATAAATACTGATAAAACTTCTTATCAGATATATTCAAACAAAAGAGATATAGACAAGAAATAAGGTTGAAACTAAATGGAGTAGAGATAAAAAGCTCTAAAAGTGTAAAATCCCTTGGAATGTTTATTGATGGCGATTTTAAGTGGAATACTCATATAAATAAGCTATACACTACATTGTGTAGAAATGTTGGTATCATTACCAAAGTGAGGTACTTTTTAAACACTGAACACTTATTATTACTCTACAATTCTCTATTTTTGTCATATGTCAATTATTGCTGCTATATATATAGCAATACTTATACTTCAACTCTATCCAAAATTGAAAAAATTCAAAAGAGAGTTGTCAGAATTATAGATGGGCAGCCAATGATGGCTCATACGGATCCAATTTTCAAAAAACTAAAACTCCTTAAAATTAAGGATGTGGCACATCAGCAAATGATACTTATCCTGCATAGAAAAATATGCAACAATCTACCACATGGATTCGACCAATTGTTTAGATTTCATCCTTCACTCAGAAACATTCGTAATGTAAAACACTTCGAAGAAATATTCACTTTCAAAAAATATAAAACTCATACTTTGTCATGGACAGGTCCTAGAGTGTGGAACAATGTCATGACCTCGATCTTTCCTCA